AACGTATCAGAACTTGGTGTAACTTCAGCCCTTTACAGTAACAAGGACAGAACCACATTTGTGGAGAGGAGACCATGTTCACTCTTTATCCACGACAGACAGATAGTCGGGAGCTTTATATACCCAAAGAACCTAAGGAAAAATGTTCCCTGTCATAACTCATAATCTTCCAGCCACGCTTCCTTGCACCTGCCTTGTGGGCTGGGAGACCCAACTTATGGATCCCATCATCCCAGGGGGAAAGAAAAATCAAATCCTTCAGTATCTCTTTTGGGGTATCCTCTCCTCTATTTGCATGGAGGTTAAGACACTCAATATGTAGTAGCCGAATGTCACATTTGTGTAATACAGAACTATGTTGGGATAAAATAGAATTTGTTTCCTCTGAGACACAGGTAGAGGTACGTCCACACTGACCTGGGTGGCAGCCACGTCTTCCTGCAGTGCCAGGCAGGGCATGCTCACAGATCTGGGGAACCTCTGCTGCTCCTGGAGCCCCACAACCTCCTTCCTGGCACCCTGTCCCTCTGGTGGCTCTGACAGCCTACAGTTGGCCTTGGGTCTCCCCTGCTTCTTTGCCTGCCCTTCTGCCCACCCTGCATATCTGTCTCCCACTGTCCCCACTATGACCACGATTGCCTCTCCCTCCCTGCACTCTCTCTCTCCTATGGCTCCTTGTCTTCGGTAAATGAAACCACAGCCTCTACATTGTGACTGGGGGCAGAACCCGGGACTTGTTCAATTCTCCCTCCCTCCATCACACACACCTGTCCTCCTTAATGTTTCTAGAGTCAGTGAGCTCCAAACTCAGCCCCTCCCGCACCTGCCAGCTGTAGGACCTGTGACAAGATGCCTACCATCTGTCTGGGACTCCGTCTCTCATCTATCATATAGGCATAATGATGATAGTGTCCTCCTTCCAAGGCTGGGGAGAACCAGGAGGCCAAGGTGATGGGTTATGGACAGTCAAAACAGCTCCAATCCTGCCTCCACCTGGGGCTGGTGTTTCAAGTCCGCTGTGCGTAAATGGAACCTTAATGCCTCCATTCACACACAATGGTTTGTTCAAAAATGGACTCCCCTCTGCCCTTCCCTTCCCCACAACTGTTTCCCCTCTGCACCGTGCAGTGGTACCTGTGAGAAAGAACTGTCCCATTCCCCAATCATCGTCCCCACCCCAGCACCCAGACCCTTGGTTGGTGAGACCCCTGATGGGCAGTCTCATGCTTCTGTCCAGGGGAATTTCCCACCGTTGCTCCCCTGCATGGAGACTAAGCGGACTCTTCTATTCCCTGTCCATCACAGGGTCTACTGTGCACGCATCTTCCTCATTCCTCCACGTTCCCCAGATGACGATTTCATCTGTGTCTCCTCCCACATACTCCCCAGTGGACCATCCCGGACCTTGAACCCGAAAATCATTCAGAGAGCAAAGGCCAAGATGCCCAACCACCTGCTGCAGAATTCTGCTCCAGGACTGAAGTGTATGGTCTCTATCAAAATAAAAACTGGAGGCCAGGCACGGCGACACATGCCGATAATCCCAACACTTTAGGAGACCAAGGTGGGAGGATCACTTTGGCCCAGGAGTTCAAGACCAGCCTGGGTAACATAGAGAGATTTTCTTGACAAAATCTTAAAAAAAATCAGTGGGTCATGATGTTGCATGCCTGTAGTCACAGCTTCTCTGGAGGCTGAGGTGGGAGGATCGCTTGAGCCCACGAGTTTAAGGCTGCATTGAGCTATGATCATGCTACTGTACTCCACCCTGGACAGAGCAAGACTCTTTCTCTAGAAAAAACAATCAAACAAACAAACAAACAAACCCAACAACTGGAAACATCCTCCACTAGAATGGTGGTCAGGAACATCTGTCTGCCTTGTTCCCTGATGTCTCTCCAGCACCTAGAACAGCGCTCAGCATGAGGATGCACTCATTAGGTTTCTGTTGAATAAATGACTCCTTTGACGCAGCAATTCCACTTCTAAGAATCTTTTCTAAAGAAATACACATTGTGCACAGCTCTGTATGCACAATAATGAGAGGAGCAAACAACTGGGGAACTTTGCAAAGTTTTATTAACTGTTAGTGACTGATACAGGGAATCAGATGAGGGGAGTGTATGCTAAACAGGAAACAGAGTGAGGGGGGCTTGACGAGGACGCATGACAATGGGGAAAAGCAGATGGGAGATGCTTATAGTGGTACTTAGTGTCTGTGTGTGTGTGTGGTTTGTAAATGCAGAGGAGAAAATCTGACATTAAACACTCAGACTTGTCCTCAGTAGTCACATCTCGGGGGAGAGGAGAGCAGTGTTGTTCTATGCGGAGATTACCTGACTATACTTGTTTTCTAAGGTATGTGCGTGGATACACAAACCGAAATATGCGTTAAGTATATCTTGCTTATCAATGAAAACGCTAATATCTAACAGAATGGCACACTGTAAGAATATACAACAGAAATGCTAACATCGAAGTCTTGGCACACTAAGAAAAATAACACTCAACTTTTCACTGTTGTGAATACTTGCTTTAACTTCCTATACACCTGATGATGAGGGGTCCGCAGCCATGCCCATGTTCGTGAAAGGTCACCAAGTTCTGCTTCTCATCATCGGCATGTGTCATATCTCCGAGGCTGAGGCGAGAAGAGAGAAGGAAAGTAAGTGGCAGTGAGTTCCCTCTGCGTCACAACTTAATCTCATCTCCTCCCGACCTGCAGATCCTGCACACTCCGATTCTGCCCTACCTCAGGACCTGCACAGGCCTTCCACTGTTCCGCGAAGTGAACCATCTGCACATGCCACAGTGACTTCCTCGCCTGGTTTATCCATTCCTAGGCTAGAGGAAGGTGTGGCCCGCGTATCAGGGCTGACCTGGGGTTTGGGATCCCACAGCTTCCTGGGTAGGGAGGATCCCTGGATATACAGGGCAGGAAGTAGAAAGAGCTTGCAAAGGCCGGGCATGGTGGCTCACGCCTGTAATCCCAGCACTTTGGGAGGCCGAGGCAGGCAGATCACAAGATCAGGTGACCGAGACCATCCTGGCTAACATGGTGAAACCCCTTCTCTACTAAAAATACAAAAAAAATTACCCAGGCATAGTGGCGGGTGCTTGTAGTCCCAGCTACTGGGGAGGCTGAGGCAGGAGAATGGCGTGAACCCAGGAGTCGAGTCGGAGCTTGCAGTGAGCCGAGATCGTGCCACTGCACTGTAGCCTGGGCCACAAAGGGATACTCCGAGAAAAACACAAAACAAAACAAAACAAAACAGAACAAAAACATGGGAAATCTCATCATTCAGCCTCAATGCTGTACCCTAGAAAATTATGAGAAGGGAATGATTTGGGAAACAAGTGGTAAGATGGGATACCAGTACCACAACAGAATAGCACATCTGCAGGGATGTGGGGGATGAGCCGAAGGTTCACTTACAGAGTTACTCGTCATCTTCCTCAGGGTTGCTGATCTCTTCATAAATCACCAGCTGCTTTCTCTCACGCAGTCTATGGGTCCAGGCATGTTTCCCTCTTTTGGGTCCTATGATGGGGAAGAGTTGGAAGATGAGGGTTGGGTAGGGTGGAGAGTGTTAGTCTCTGTTTTCTCCAAAAAAGTAGATGCCTCCACCCTCCCAAGTGCCATGGGCCTTCTTTATCCAGTTTTTCATTCTGTGGCTTAGAGTCTGAGACCTTGGACCCACAACAACACACGCCAAATGCCAGTTAAAGTTTTAGCTTCTGGCTCCTTCCGTTGTCAAGCTTAGAGTCTCAACCTCTTCACTTATGGGGACATCCACCCATACCTCCTTTCATTCAGCATGTGTTTATTAAGGGCACACGGGCATACATTTTTTTATTGCACCACATTTTCATAGTGTTTCACAGATGCTGCAATTTTTTTTTTTTGGAAACTCTCATCAATTTTACACTTTTCCATTATTATTATATCTGTTATAGTGATCTGTCATCAGTGAGTTTTGATATTATTACTGCCATTGTTTTTGTTGTTTTTTAATCTTTTAAAATAATTTTACTTTTTACTTTTTTTTTTTTTTTTTTGAGACAAAGTCTGGCTCTGTCGCCCAGACTGGAGTGCAATGGAGCAATCTCGGCTCACTGCAACCTCTGCCTGCTGGGTTCAAGCGATTCTGCAGCCTCAGACTCCCAAGTAGTTGGGACTACAGGCGCCCATCACCACACCCAGCTAACTTTTTGTATTTTTAGTAGAGACAGGGTTTCACTGTATTAGCCAGGATGGTCTCAATCTCCTGACCTCATGATCGGCCTGCCTCAGCCTCCCAAAGTGCTGGGATTACAGGCGTAAGCCACAGAGCCTGTCCATATTTTTTATTTTTGGGGTCCACAGTAGGTGTATATTCTTAAGGGGTACGTGAGATGCTTTGATACAGGCATGCCATGCATAATAATCACATCATGGAAAATAGGGTCTCAATCCCCTCAACCATTTATCCTTCTGTTACAAACAATCCAATTACTCTTATAGTTTTTATAAAATGTACAATTAAGTTATGATTGACTATAATCACCCTGTTCTATGTAATTGTTTCGGGGGTACCAGGAACTGCACCCATAGAAGATGACGAACTTAATCGACCAATGTTGTGTGGTCTGACTGCTCCACCGATGAGCTGTTCCCCATCTCTCCTCCTTCTCTCGGGCCTCCCTATTTCCTGAGACACAGCAACACTGAAATTAGGACAATTAACAACCCTACAATGGCCGCTAATTATTCAAATGAAAGGAAGAGTCGCATGTCTCTCACTTTAAATCAGAAGCTAGAAATGGCTAAGCTTAGTGAGGAAGGCATGTGGAAAGCCAAGACAGGCTGAAAGCTCTGCCTCTTGCATCAAACAGGCAAGCTGTGAATGCAAAGGAAAAGTTCTTGAAGGAAATAATAATACTAATACTCCAGTGAGCACAGGAATAAGAAAGCAAAACAGACTTACTGCTGAAATAGGGAAAGTTTGAGGGGTCAGGATATTTGACGAAACCAGCCACAACATTCCCTTATGCCAAAGTCTAATTCAGAGCAACACCCGAACTCTCTTCAAGTCCATGAAAGCTGAGAGAGATGAAGAAGCTGCAGGAGAAATGTGTGAAGCTAGCAGAGGGTGGTTCATGAGGTTTAAGGAAAGAAGCCATCTCCATAACATAAAAGTGCAAGGTGAAGCAGCAAACCCTGATGGAGAAGCTGCAGCAACTTATCCAGAAGATCAAGCTGAGATCACTGTTGAAGTTGGCTACACTAAACAACAGATTTTCATTGTAGATAAAATAGCCTTCTATTGGATGAGATGCCTTCTAGGACTTTCATAGCTAGAGAGAATTGACTCCAACTTTAAAGAAGTTCCACTGTGGGTAAAATGCTATCCAATAGCACCATATACTACAGAGAAATCCTTCATGAAAGAGAGAGCTAATCAATGTGGCAAATTTCTTTGTTGTCTTCTTTTAAGAAATTGCCACAGCCACTCCACCCTTCAGCAACCACCACCTTGATCAGCCAGCAGCCATCAACACCGAGGCAAGACCCTCCACCAGAAAAAAGAGGTAGTCACTGAAGACTCAGAAGATTGTTAGCGTTTTAAACAATTATTTTTAAATTAAGGTATGTATATTTTTAGACATAATGTTATTACACACTTAGTAGACTACAGTATAGTGAAAACATAATGTTTTTATGCACTGCCAAACAAAAAAAAAAGTGTGTGACTCACTTGATTGCAGTGGTCTGGAACCGAATCTACAATATCTCTGAAGTACACCTGTATTGGGTATCAGGCATTGAGCTGAGTAAGATATTATCCCGCGTTATCAAAGATAGAATTGCTTGAGCACCTTTCATGTCATCAGGACTTCTAGATTAAATTTAATGCCTCCAAACAATTTATGAACTATGATTCTTTATTTCCATCTTATGGACTAGGAATCTGGAGCTGAGAAAATTTGGAAGACTTGCCCCAAGTCACGTGGCTTTTTATATGGATGACAACTCCAGTCTGTGTCTCTGGAAGTCATGTTTATCATCTCATCTGGAGTTGGGCGAGCTCCTCAGCCCAGCCTGGACCCAGGCTTGTCTGGGATCCACGCCACACACCCAGTCCCCACACCTGAACATAGCCAGGTAAGCCAGAGGGGTCGTTCCCAAATTATTTCCTCTTACCAGATCTCTTGTTAATCTTCTTAAAGGTACTTGGTTTTCCCGGTGGGCACGGCTGTTTCCCATCGTTCTGTGGGCCAGATGCTCCTGGCACTTCCTTCGAATCATTTCCTTCCTCTGCTGGCTTCTCGGGCATGATCTTTATAATGTGAAGGTCACATATAAATAGTATCAGTCACATTTCTATAGTGCTTTAGAACTTACAAAGCATCTTCACATGCATTACCTCAATCAATGTTCTCAACAACACTGGAAGAGTTACACAGGCGTAAATGAGGAGAAACCTGGAAGGTTAGATGGGAAAGGAATGGCCTATGTGAATATGGTTTCCAGGGCTAGAATGCTTATCTTCACACTCTTTTAAGACTGACATTCTTGCAAACAGCAAAAATCTCCATGTAACTGAGAGTGTGGTATACAGAAGATTGGAAGAAGGACAGCATTCTAAGAATTCACAAGGTCTACAAAAGGAAGAGCTTCTATAAAATACAAGGGATCTCATATAAGCTCTTAGACAGCTGCTGGAGAGTAAATGTAAAAACATAGAAGGGAGACAAAACACTGCTGAAAAAGATGGTATTGGGAGATGAATACAGTGAAGGGAGAGGTAAAGAAATGGTTTGCTTAAATTAATCTAGGCAGCAAAGAAAGCAGTTATCAGATATGGCATACCACCCTACCAAGGCACCACCACTGAATGTGGAATTAAGTGAGGTGGTGCCCATACCAATTCTGGTTGCATTGGGATATTGGGATGTGTCACTGACCAACAACCTTAAGCTACCTTTTTTTTTTTTTTTTTTTTTTGACGGAATCTCGCTCTGTTGCCAGGCTGCAGTGCAGTGGCACAATCTCGGCTCACTGCAACATCCAACTCCCGCGCTAAAGCGATTCTCCCGTGACAGCCTCTGGAGTATCTGGGACTGCAAGCAGGCACGACCACGCCCCGCTAAGCTTTGTATTTTAGGTAGAGACAAGGTTTCACCATGTTGGCCAGGATGGTCTTGATCTGTTGACCTCGTGATCCACCCGCCTTGGCCTCCCAAAGTGCTGGGATTGCAGTCGCAAGCCACCGTGCCCCGCTCTTAATTTACTTTTTATTCAGCTTCCTCGCTTATGAAATAGTGAACCATACATATACAATAGGCTAAGGGAAAGTCATCTCTGAGCTTGTAAACACTGTTTAAATATAGTAATAATAACAATCAATACCTTTCTGGATCCTTCTTTGAATTCGGTCTCCACACTGGCAACCCAACTCCCAGATCCCTTTACCCTCTAAACCAGAGTTGAATCTGCACTTGTGGGATCACTCACTCAGGGGCCTCCGAGGGATCCCCTGGACTGGGACTGGGGTTTCCCAGATGCCCCAGGTGCAGACAAAGCCCTCAAGGAGCTCACAGTAGGGAGGGGTCAACTGTCAAAGGGACACTTAGGCCATGTGAGTGGCCCCAGTTACAGAGCAAAGGTCAGCTGGTCCTTCCTGTTGCGAGAGTGGGTGTCTCAACAGAAGCACCAGCAGGCCCTATGGGGTAAAGCCCTAGTGAGCAACATCTGAACTTCATAAACAAATGCAAACGTGAATGAGCTTTAAATGGCTTGGAGCTCTGGATTAGACTACCACTGCCACTGTGCCCCAGGAACATTCTTTAACATCTCTGTACCCCGATAGCCTCATTTTATTATGTTCCTGATAACTATGATCTATAACATGAACTACGATTCTTTACTTCCATTGCATGGACCAGGAATCTGGAGCTCAGAGAACTTAGAAGATTTGCACCAAGTCACATGGCTTTTGTATGGATGACAACCGAAGTGTGTGACTCTTTATTATTTGGAGATAACAACAGAAACAACGTCATAGAGGTCTTCTTAAGGATTAAATAAATTAAGCCATGTGAACTGCTTAAAATAGTATCTGGTATCACTATGAAAACAAAAGAAGTATTAAGGATGACAACTCTTAGTATTATCAAGCCGTCGATGCTACATCAGGTGTTGTGATAGACATGGGGGGAAGGAGGCAGTGAGGGCATTTTTTATATTCTCCCGCTCTTACCAGTGTTCACATCCTTGAAGAGACAAAGGTTCTCTGGTCCTTTAGATTTGAGAGATACTCACCTTTGGAAAGATTCCCTGGAGCCTGCCGGAAGTCATCTGAGGACGTTCAACTGAAAGAGAATACATCAGAATTTTTCTTTGTTGGTAAAGATTTCCAAACTCTAGAGAGACTTCTGTCACATGAGGGCATTCTGCAGCAGAGAGTTACGAGTTCACTCATTGTTGAGGAATTATTTGAGATTTGCTTCTGAATTATGTTTAGTCATGGTTGGTGCATTTATCTGTGGCATCAATTCAGAATTTTCCATCTCATGGTTTATCAAATGGGGGTTAAACCCCATCACAGTCTCATCTTCTTCCATTACATACCTTTCACATTTTCCCAAATAACTAAATTGATTGTTTGGGGATCTGAACTGTATTCTCTCAAGATGTGCAACAACTGAAAATCACTGTACACTTCAAATGGGTGAATCTTATGGTATGTCAATTAAGCTGTTAAATGTGTGATGAACCATGGATGATTTAGTCCAGTGGCTCTGAAATATTTTCAGTATAAAGACACTCCTTTAATGTCAAAAACTTGACAGATACTCAAGCACTGGATTTTCAGACCTCTTATAGTGATTGTGCGAGATGGTAGAATCTGGCCTGTTTAGTTGGGGCGTAATAGGTCTATTGGAGACAGTTTGGACATTCTGACCTTGTCTTATAATTGTGTGGTTAGAGCAAAAGAGCAAGCAAATACATATGTCCCCTTTATATTCCCGAAATATACAAAGATTTCTACCCAGTAACCTGTTGCTTTTTCACCCTATATTATCTCTCCTCACTGACAAGTGGGAAAACTCTCTGTGTATTGGATGAGGGATCACTCTTTCAAACTCACCTCCCAGCTCACCGCAGAGAATCAGTTCTTTGGGAATGAGAAGGCTATTTGGTTTTGATAAAATACAGAATAACAGCGATCTTTATTAAATAATGTGTTCATCACCCTCACTCCTAAGATACCTATCCAATACCTACATGCTGTTAATGAAACAAACTCTGGAAGTTTTTGGCGGATCTACAGTTGTAACATTTTCTTTCTTTCTTTCTTTTTTCTTGTAACATTTTCTTAACTGTCCTTTGATTCATTAACAGTGCTTAGGAAGAACAACATGTCCTTTAAAAAAGAAATATTTCAAATACAAAGAAAAGCATAGGGAATAATACTGAGTCCAGTCAGATCTCAACATCACCCCACAGCTATGTTAGGTCTGATTTATTTATTCAGAATATTAGAAAAACTACAAACAGGCCAGGTGTGGTAGTTCACATTTGTAATCCCAGCACTTTGGGAGGCTGAGATGGGTGGATCACCGGAGGTCAGGAAGTTTGAGACCAGCCTGGCCAACATGGTGAAACCCCTTCTTTACCAAAAATAAAAAAATTAGCTGGGTGTGGGGGTGGGCACCTGTAACCCCAGCTACTCGGGAGGCTGAGGCAAGAGAATCACTTGAACCCAGGAGGTGAAAGTTGGAGTCAGCTGAGATTGCCTTATTGCACTCCAGCCTGGGCGACAAGAGTGAACCTCCACCTCAAAAACAAACAAAACACACTATCAACAAGTCACGGCTGAAGCTGTCTGTGCAGCGCTCACCAATCCCTGCCTTCCCTCCTCCACTTACAGGCAGTCACCTTAATTTGATGGCTTTTTATTCACATTCATGTTTGTATACATTTACCATTTACTTATTATCTATAAAAATATATTATTCTTTTGCATGTTTTAAAATTTTATATGAATGGCCTCTGTAGTTAAGTTTCTGCATGCAATTTTTTTTTCACTCAGCCCTGATGTGTGTGAGGGAACAAATGCCTGAGGATCTTTCCCAGGTAGCTGAGCTGAAAAGCAGTTGGGTTTGAGGAGACTCTTTCCGGCCCCTTCCCATCTACTCACCTTGATCCCCGCGGTTACGGTCATTATCAGAATCATTCCCCTGGAAGTCTTCGGCCACTGTATTACGCATGAAAGGTGGGAGGGTGGCCTTGAAACCTAGAAAGAAGCAAAATGTTTATTCCTTAAGAGGCAAGCTTAGGCCTGCCACGGTGGCTTATGTCTGTAGTACCAGTACTTTGGGAGGCTAAGGTTGGAGTATTGCTTGAGGCCAGGAGTTCAAGGCTGCAGTGAGCTATGATTGCACTACGGCACTCTAACCTAGGTGACAGAGTGAGACTCAAAGAAAGAAAGAAAGAAGGAAAGAAAGAAAGAAAGAAAGAAAGAAAGAAAGAAAGAAAGAAAGAAAGAGAGAGAGAGAGAGA